AAGCAGGCTACTGTAGTTCCTCATGTCACCGGTAGATGGCAGGTTTGTCAAGAACGGGGATTTCAGGAGGCTCAACGACTATGGAGTGAGGGAGGCTGTACAGAGTTGCGTCCTAAAACATCCCAGATTTTAACTTCCAACCTCTTCTTTTCATAAATTGTGTGGAAAGGGGCAAGTGTAGGAAACTTGCTGCTGCCCAGTATGCTTCAGTCTCCTCAGGGCCTCAGCAAAATTGGTGACTGAAGATGGGGATCATGAAGAAACATCTAAATAAGCAGAGATTAACAATGCGGGGGGGGGGGGGGGGGGGGGGGGGCGGGAAGGGGAGGGATTCAACAGTGGTTGGAGAAATTAGGCACCCTTCCAGGGTAAGTTCTATCTTTTGCTCCAGTACTGCCGCACTTTCATTCTGGAACCAGTTCTAGCTTCTGACTTCCGTTGCAGCTCCTGCTGGTCCCATTACCAGTAGCTGCAGAGCATGGCCCAAAGTCTTCTATCTGAAGACCTTCTGCTTCACGTCCCTTCCCTCGTTGGCTACTTTTAACAGCCGCACTATGCTGTATTGTGTGACAGTCCTCCATTTGTTCAACCAGTCACTTGTAATGGGTACCTGGATTGTTTTCAGTCTTTTCCTGTTGCACATAATTTTGCATGAAAAGCTCCACATGCACCTTGGGCAGCTGTCACTGTAGTAGGCTGAGAAGCAATAAAACAAAATAAGTAAGAGAGATGGCAGACAACTTTGTCAGGAATAGTGGAACTCCCTCAAACCCTAGCATGCACCCTGGCACATTGGGGCCAATCTTAGAGTCAGTTTTTTTTATGGACTATGGACTCTGACTTTCTGCACCAATATTGCTCCAATTTGCCAAAGCCACTTACCTTAACATTTGCTGAGCATGTGGGTAGTGCCACTTTCCTTCTTAGATTTCAGGGGTGAAAGATGCCTCCAGAACTTGAATACTATCCAAAGAACAGGCCTCTCTCTTAGGGAAACTCACAACAAGGTACCAAACCCTTCACGAAAGAAAAAGAGAATGTATGTCTGAGTGTCCCATCTCTTTTCCAGTGTCTCTTGCTTTTTGGTACTGGATCCCTGGTGACACCTATTCTTACAATTTCAGATTTGAGGTCTGAACAGGCTGGGTGGGGATGGGAGCCATCAGCAGCCCTATCACCTCCCTTCCTTCTAATCTCACCACCAGCCGTTGCACATTCATCCTGGCTTGAAACTTTATCTTTGTACCTTTGCTAGGTGGGAGCCAGCTTACAGCAGATGTTCTGAGTCTGTGCAGTTTGATTAAGTATCTGATTGTCACGTTGACTTTCCCTCTTGGTCTCCAGACACACATACCAAGCTCTGCATAAAAGCGGGTATGAATTTCTAGCTGCTGGCTATGACCATCCATTGCTTTGCCATCTTGTCCATGGCAAAGACAGGTGCTGTAGCTGGATATGTGGACTTCTTTCCCCACACATGACATCAATTTCACAGAAGCTGGACAGAAATTCTCCCAAGCTGCAATAGGAAAGGAGTGCTATTGAAACCAACCTGGCGCACACGAGGACAGTATAATCAGTGTCTGATTGTTTAATGATGCACTGGTTGTTTAATAATTATGCTTGTGCATGATCCATGTGTGGCATGGTGCAAGCAGAAATGAATGGAACATGCCACCAGCATTCATGTGGGGTCACCATCAGGACTCACACCAGGGGCTGTTAAATCTCCTACCCAAGACTAGATCTTCCAAATGATGGACAATACATGCCCAAAGGGATAAGGGGCAGATGCACCCCAATGTTTATAACAACGCTATTAACAATAGCCAAATTATGGAAAGAGTTCAAATGTCCATTAACTAATGAATGGAAAATACATACACAATGGAATGTTACTCAGGGATCAAAAAGAGTAAAATCTTGCCATTTGCAACAACAACAACAAAAGGAATAGAGGGTGACATAGAAAATGACATGGACTGATTGTTGAGGTAGGAACATAGATTACTAATATGTGATCTTTTCTCTTTTTTAAATTTAAATTCACATTAGTTAACATATACTGTAGTATTGGTTTCAGGAGTAGAATTTAGTGATTCATCACTTACATATAACACCCACTGCTTATCACAAGTGCCCTCCTTAATGCCCATCACCCATTTAGCCCATCCCCCACCCCCACCCCTCCAGCAACTGTCAGTTTGTTCTCTGTATTTAAGTCTCTTATGGTTTGCCTCCTTCTCTGTTTTTACCTTATTTTATTTATCCTTCTTTTCTCCTATGTTCATCTGTTTCCTTTCTTAAATTCCACATATGAGTGAAATCATACGATAGTCATCTTTCTCTGATTGGCTTATTTTGCTTAGCATTAATACACTCTAGTGTATTATTCACGTAGATTTTTGAAAAGACATGAAGTAAATCAGGTATTTTCACTCTAGAAATGTGAGCGTAACATTGTCATTTCTGAGACCTTCTCCATTTCCCCTTCAATCAAAACACTTGCAACTTGTTTAAAATCAGCCTTTTTACCCCATTTAGCTGAAGTTTTCTGTTTATTCCATACCCTATTGCATGTCTCTACTCCCTCCCCTCTTTCTTGTTCCTTATGATTCCAAGGCAATTTAAGGATGGTTCTGTCTTCCATGGGTCTAAGAGCTTTACTTCTCAGTCTGCACTATCCACTGTTGGGCCATTTCAATTTTCTGGTGGCCAGGATAAAGATGGGGTAGGGAAGAGGAGCCTATGGATATCCCCAGATGTGACCCAGGCAGTGGCCTGTTCCCATAGTTGGTGCCATCTCCAGGCTGCTTTGCATAAGTCTACAAGAGTCATCTGCTGGATCTGAGCCTTGCCTGGGAAGCGAGCTGTAAACTTTACTTTTCTGTAGACAAAGTTTCCATTCCATAATGACAAATGAATTTGTATAGTTGAGTTTTAGTTATAGTTTAAAAAATTAATCCTGTGTGAATTGTGTCATCCATAATATTTTCTACCTGCTATTTATTTATAGGTAATGAATGAAAGAGATGGAGGTTTTAGGAAAAGCAGGGTATGGATTAAAGAGGTCACTAACCTCTAGAGGGAATAATCACTTTTTGTAGCAAGTTGTTCTGGATTTAGGCTGTTTCTCTTTTCCTTCCCACACTGAATTGATGGGTGATTGCAGCTGTCTCAGTACTGTGTTCATTGACTGGTTTCAACCCCCATCATGTACATTCCCCCTGCCTTCTGAAATGCTCATCTGGACAAGACCTTTAAGTAAAAAAATATGAAGCAGGTATAGAAAAAGAATGTATGGAGTGAAAGAAAGAAGGGAAGAAGGGAGGAGGAAAAGATGGAAGGAACGAGGGAAGGAAGCAAGATTTGGAAGGGACGAAGGAAGGGGAGAGAAAGGGAGGAAAAGTAAAAGGGGTCAAAAGGAGAAAGAAAGGGAATGGGGGATAAAATAAAACAATTCTAATTTTTAATAATTTCCAAAAAATTCTTACAATGGTGCCTATTTTCATACACAATATAAAAATATACCAATTCCCTGTAAACCCCTACTCCTATGATGTCAGAGAGAATGCCATTCATATCTACTCACCAGATGAATGTGTCCTTCACCTTTTGCTGTCTGATCATTCACCATCTTCTACATCCCAGCAAGCCAATCAAGGGTAAATTATGCAGTATGATCCTCTTCTAATACAGAGTCCAAGGGTACAAACCCCTACCAAATTTGTTGGAGATCATGATTATACAGATTTATTGGACCAGATGATGGCCCGGTACCAGCCATGACTCTAAAGCCACTGGGTTTGCATCACAACTCAGGTTATAAAGCCTGGTTAATTAAATAAAACTCATTGAAAATTTTGCAGAAGATTGAAATTATAGCTCCAGGAACCACTAGTGGAACTGTATGGATCTCAGAGATAGGAAAAGAAGCACCTAGTGCACAGCCACATTAGAAAATGAACTTCATATAGGAACCTCAGGATCTAGCAGCTGCTCTCAGCATAAGTGGGCGAGGTCCCTGCAGCTCCTTAGAGGAAGAAGTAAAGGATCTTTTGCTCCAAAGGAAGTATACATGGCCCTCATTCCGTATCCATATTGCACACCCTGAAGGAGGCCTCGCAAACTACTCAAATGCAAGTACACTCTTTGGTTGCGGTTATTACTCTTACTATGTAGTGCAGGATAATAAGATTGCTACTAGACCCCATGTGTCTAACACTCTCTCAGGAAGTGTGCTGAAACACATTCAGCAGGGATACAACTGCACTACAGGATGGCTGAGCATCAAGCACTTGCCTGCCTGGTTGGAAGGATTTCAGCCTGTGTGTCATGGATTCTGGCCATTGAGTCTGACCAAGAGTTCACTTTCTTCTGCATTAAATGGTACCAATGGAAGTGATGCCCAAATGAATCAGTTTGTCCTTATACCACTCTCAAATTATATCCCAAGCATAAAGGCTCTCCCAGCATGACCAAATCAGACCCATCTGGCTGGTCAATTTGTATTCTAATATTTTTACTATAAGTTTAATGGATGAGGCCTGGATTGTAAAGCTGGCATCCATAAATGTCCCTATAATTAGCTTATCAATGTGTTCAGAATCTCCTGTGTATAACACCCAGTGCTCATCCCAACAAGTGTCTTCTTTAATGCCCCTTACCCATTTAGCCCATCCCCCCCACCCACAACCCCTCCAGGAACCCTGTTTGTTCTCTGTTTAATAGTTTCTTGTGTTTTGTCCCCCTCCTTGTTTTTATATTATTTTTGCTTCCCTCCCCTTATGTTTTTCTGTTTTGTATCTTAAATTCCTCATATGAGTGAAGTCATATGATATTTGTTTTTCTCTGACTAATTTCACTTAGCATAATATCTTCCAGTTCCATCCACGTAGTTGCAAATGACAAGATTTCATTCTTTTTGATTGCTGAGTAGTTTTCCATTGTGTATATATACTACATCTTCTTTATCCATTCATCTGTTGGTGGGAATTTGGGCTCTTTCCATACTTTGGCTATTGTCGCCAGCGCTGCTATGAACATTGGGGGGCATGTGCCCCTCTGAAACAGCACACCTGGATCCCTTGGATAAATACTTCATGGCGCAATTGCTGGGTCATAGGGTAGTTCTATTTTTAATTTTTTTTGGAACCTCCACACTGTTTTCCAGAGTGCCTGCACCCATTTGCATTCCCACCAGCAGTGCAAAAGAGAGCCTCTTTCTCTGCATCATTGCCCACATCTGTTGTTGCCTGAGTTGTCAATGTTAGCCATTCTGGCTGGTGTTAGGTGGTATCTCATTGCGGTTTTAATTTGTATTTCCCTGATGATGAGTGATGTTGAGCATTTTTTCATATGTTTGCTAGCTATCTGGATGTCTTATTTGGCAAAGTATCTATTCATGTCTTTTGACCATTTCTTCACTGGATTATTTGTTTTTAGGGTGTTGAGTTTGATAAGTTCTTTATAGATTTTGGATACTAATGCTTTATCTGATATGTCATTTGCAAATATTTCCTGCCATTCCATTGGTTGCCTTTTAGTTTTGCTGACTGTTTCTGTCACTGTGCAGAAGCTTTTTATTTTGATAAGGTCCCAATAGTTCATTTTTGCCTTTGTTTCCCTTGCCTCCAGAGACGTATTGAGTAAGAATTTGCTGTGGCTGAGGTCAAAGAGGTTTTTGCCTGCTTTCTCCTCTAGGATTTTTATGGCTTCCTATCTTATGTTTATGTCGTTCATCCATTTTGAGTATATTTTTGTGTATGGTGTAAGAAAATGGTCCAGGTTCATTTTTCTGCATGTCGCTGTCCAGTTTTTCCAGCACCATTTGCTGAAGAGACTGTCCTTATTCCATTGGATATTCTTTCATGCTTTTTTCAAAGATTAGTTGGCCATATGTTTGTAGGTCAATTTCTGGGTTCTGTATTCTGTTTCATTGATCTGAATGTCTGTTTCTGTGCCAGTACCATGCTGTATTGATGATTACAGCTTTGTAATACATCTTGAAGTCTGGGAGTGTGATGCCTCCAGGTTCAGTTTTCTTTTTCAATATAGCTTTGGCTATTAGGGGTCTTTTCTGGTTCCATACAAATTTTAGGATTATTTGTTCTAGCTCTGTGAAGAATGTTGGTGTTATTTTGATAAGGATTGCATTGAATATGTAGATTGCTTTGGTAGTATCAACATTTTAACAATGTTTGTTCTTCCAATCCATGAACATGGAATATTTTCTATTTGTGTGTGTGTGTGTGTGTGTGTGTGTGTGTGTGTGCATGTGTCATCTTCAATTTTTTTTTCATAAGCTTTCTATAGTTTTTGGTGTATATATATTTTTTAACCTTTTTGGTTAGGGTTATTCCTAGGTATTTTATGGCTTTTGGTGCAATTGTAAATGGGATTGATTCCTTGATTTCTCTTTCTGTTGTTTCATTATTGTTGTATAGGAATGCAACTGATTTCTGTGCATTGATTTTATATCCTGCACATTCGCTTTATTCATGGATCAGTTCTAGTAGTTTTGTGGTGCAGTCTTTTGGATGTTCCATATAGAGTATCATGGCATCTGCAAAGAGTGAAAGTTTGACTTTCTCCTTGTCAATTTGGATGTCTTTTATTCCTTTGTATTGTCTGATTGCTGAAGCTAGGACTTCCAGTACTATGTTGAATAACAGTGGTGAGAGTGGACATTCCTGTCGTGTTCCTGACCTTAGGGGGAAAGCTCTCATTTTTTCCCCATTGAGAATGATATTAGTGGTGGGTCTTCCGTATATGATCTTGAGGTATGATCCTTCTATCCCTACATTCTTGAGGACTTTTATGAAGAAAGGATGCTGTATTTTGTCAAATGCTTTCTCTGCATCTATTGAGAGGATCATGTGGTTATTGTTCTTTCTTTTATTAACGTGATGTATCACATTGATTGTTTTGTGGGTATTGAACCAGCCCTACATCCCAGGTATAAATCTCACTTGGTCTTGGTGAATAATTATTTTAATGTATTGTTGGATCCAGTTGGATAGTATTTTGTTGAGGATTTTTAAATTTCTTTAATGTTTATTTATTTTTGAGAGAGAGAGAGAAAGAGAGAGAGAGCTGGGGAGGAGCTGAGAGAGAGGGAGACACAGAATCTGAAGCAGGCTCCAGGCTCTAAGCTGTCATCCCAGAGCCCAATTCAGGGCTCAAACCCACAAACTGTGAGATAATGACCTGAGCTGAAGTTGAACACTTAACTGACTGAGCCAACCAAGTGCCCCTCGAGAATATATATTATTAATGGAGTCCCCACAAAATGAGGTCATGGACACTGCATTCTCCTTTGCAAGGTACACCCCTGCTGATCCAATGGAGCTCACTGAGACTGCTCATGTAACAGTAGAGCCCATACCTGTGGTTCCATCCTGGGCCAGGCCTCTAGCACATATACTCAGAATTCAGCACCAGCCTGACACTTATACCCTTCATTGATCTCTTCATGGAAAGGCCACCCTCCGCCAGGTTGGCCTCCACCACTCCCAAGCACACCAACTCCACAGACAACATCACCCTTTCCTGAGAGCTTACTGTTGGAGATGATTTTACCTCAGATGGCCACACCACAACCCAAGAGAACAACAAGGAAGACAATGTGCCCCAAACTTGTGGGACATTGGAATTTTTTTCTCTCATTTTTTCCCACACAAGGAGGGAAATGATTATATTAACTGTCAACCTGGAGGCTTATTTGCAAACATGCCTCCAAATGATTGACAATGAGGACCCAAGAGAGTACTTTTTTTTTTCTGAAAGAGCTAAGCACTTGCCTCAGAAAGCTAACCTTTAGCAAAATGGTTGTAAACCATAAGTCCCCTGCCATCTGCCTGGAAGGACTAAACAGCATTTCATCTTTATGTCAATGAAGCCAAACAATGTATTCTAAACCATCCTAGTTACATAAGTACTTCCTCACAATACCCCCAGTTTGACCTGCTCAACTCCGTGATCAGGGACCTCTCCATGCTGTTTTCACTGCTAAATGTACTGGATTACAGCTTTGCTTTCCACCTAACACCTCCACAACATATTCTGTTCCTCATTTTGTTTCCACCACCACTACCGACACCTCCTCCAGGCTTGAATTTACCACCTGCACTCCTCTCCACATCTTACCCATATACCCCTCCCTATTGTCCAACACAACCCTGCCTTACAATCAAATTGGCCACATCCAACCTGACAAATATATTCATAGAAACCTCTGAACCTTGCAAAGTAAATGATGCTGGGTCTGTCACCTCGCAGTGGCTGACCTACAGCCAACTTCTGGCCCTAATTGCTGACCAAATTCCTTAAACAAAACATCTTCAACAGGTAATTGTTAAGCAAAAATATATATTAATGTGACCAATTAAAAATGAAGACTTTTCCAGCTCTCTTTCCCCCAAACACACACAATATAGGTATATGTATGCAAACACACCTGTATTCTATAAGATCATTCGGAATTAAATAAATTCCACACTTTAGATCTCATGCAATAGAGAATAATATTTAAGAATGCCATTTCTTGACTTTCTTACCTGGACTGTGGAGTAAAATCACTTTCTATTCCTGGAAGAAGAAGTGAAAGGAGGATTCACAGGTGAGGGCAGGCACATTTTCAGAAGATGGAAACAACTTTGCATTGGAATATCCTACATTTCTGGGATTTGTGCTGGATATGGAGTGGGAAAGATGGCATGTGGAGTTGGAAATGACTTCTGAAAACAAGGTGCCAGAATGTCTAAAATCAGGAGGAGGTTCTGAGTAAGGAGTCAAACCATTAATTGGTCATGTGGGGACAGCTGTTGAAGGCAAACACGCTTAGTCTTCTGTGGTGAATCTATTCCTTTAGAATTTCTCAGTTATCGAGTTCAGCTTGTGCCTTTTAGAACAGAACTTGGGTACTATAAAACAACCTGACTATAGATGTTCAAATCATAACAATGGAAACTGGTTGGATGGCAGGGAAATATTCTGAGATGTGGGTCCTAAATTACCAACCTCCCCTGCCCCAACACATACACATACACATACACATACACATACACATACACACACTTGTGGCCTTGGGTTCCATGTGAAACTTATCTCATTTCTAGGCCTTACTTACCTATTACCCGCAAATACTCCTCTGGTTCTAGGTTTGGTACTGTGAAGGAACCAGAGATAAGGTGTACATATTTGCATTTAGTAATTTAAGGAAAAATTTCCATTAGCTTCTATGTCTTGTCTGTATCACAAGTAATAGAAGTAAGAGTATTACATTTCTCAGGCTCTTTTTGTCCAAGATCTGAACGTGGTCTACATGCTGCCAGTAAAAGTTAGTATTATGAGATTTGGGAAGTGGCAGGTAGGTTGAAGCTATCTCATGTGGTAGACATAAGAGTTTCACACACAGGAGTCTTGGCAACAGCCTTGTGTTTCCAAGACAGTCCTTTCCTTGGGGCTCTAGAGGAGACAGTTTCCTGACCTCCTGGATTTAGGGGTACACACTGACTTTTGCTCCTCCAGTCTTCCTAACACTTTAAAGGTATAAGTCCTTGTAATACAGGAGAATTGTAACAAACGATTCTGTTTAAAGTGTCTATAGGGACTTCTATTTACAGACTGAACTCTGACTAGTACAGTGGCTCCTCACCATTTGATGTCACCGAAAAGAACTCACTCAGGTGCCCTCAGAAATCCCCTCAGACTAAGGAAGCTAGAGTATAGGAAGAAAACAGGAGACCATGAGTAGTGTCTGGATAGGAACATCTCTCTTGTCACAGGGAAAGGGAAATGAAAGTATTTTCTAACGTCTCCCAATTTGGTAATCTCATGAGGAGAACCAATCAGCATTCTAGAACTAAGCAATATCATAAGTTGCTGAGCAACACCTTAGTTTGAAAGTGCTGTTATGACATTTAAGATATTTTTCTGTAAATTGTCTTTGAGTTTACCATATATTCATTGAGCAACTTATAAAAACCAAAGAGTATGACAGCCAGCAAAG